CTATTTTATATTTATTTATTTATTTATTTATTTTTTTTTTTTTTGTGAGGCGGAGGATCTTCACTCTGTTCGCCAAGGCTGGAGTGCTGCAGTGCACCATCTCGGCTCACTGGCAAGCTCCGCTCCCGGGTTCGCGCCATTCTCCTGCCTCAGCTCTCCGAGTAGCTGGAACTAAGGGCGCCACGACCGCGCCGGGCTAATTTTTTGTATTTTAGTAGAGGAACGGAGTTTTCCACCGTGCTTAGCCAGGATGGTCTTGATATCTCCTGAACCTCGTGTCCCCGCGCCGCCTTCGCCTCCAACAGTGCAGGGATTACAGGCGTCGACCACCGCGCCCGGGCTATTTATTTTTTATTTATTTTGGGATGGACTCTCACTCTGTCGCGCAGGCTGGAGTGACACGGCGTGATCATGGCTCACTGCAACCTTCTGCCTCCAGGTTCAAGTGATTCTCCTGCCTCAGCCTCCTTAGTGGCTGGGGACTACAGGTTCCACACTACGCCTGGCTAATATTTTTAGTATTTTTAGCAGAGGTGGGTTTCACCATGTTGGCCAGGCTGGTCTCGAACTCCTGACCTTGTGATTTGCCCACCTCAGCTTCCCAAAGTGCTGGGATTACAGGCGTGGATCACCGTGCCCAGCCCTAGGGTACTTTAAACAATTGACTCGATCGCCACTATAATGGAAATGAACAAATTTTCCTAAAACTCCAAGTTTTGGTCTCTCTTAAAAAAACAAAGATCTGGCCGGGCGCGGTGCTCAAGATAAATAAATTAAATAAATTAATTAAATGAATAAATAAACAAAACCACTCTAGGGCCAATCCAAAGTGGATCTGTGGGCCATACTCTGGCTGGATTTAACCTGTGGGCTTGCATCCCCTAACTCTGGCCATGGCTGTTTAGTTCTGTGGCCTATGTCCTCCTATGCCCTAATTTTAAAATGTGAGAGTCCCGGTCGGGCATGGTGGCTCACGCTTGCAATCCTTGCACTTTGGGAGGCTGAGATGGGCAGATCACGTGGTCAGGAGTTGGAGACCAGCCTGACCAACATAGTGAAACCCCATCTCTACTAAAAGTACAAAAATTAGCCAGGTGTGGTGGCATGCGCCTGTAGTCCCAGCTACTCAGGAAGCTGAGGCAGGGGAATCCCTTGAACCCGGGAGGTAGAGGTTGCAGTGAGCTGAGACCATGCCACTGCACTCCAGCCTGGGCAACACAGTGAGACTCTGTCTCAAAAAGAAAAAAAAAGTAAAACTGTGAGAGTCCCATAGGTAGAGGCCTCCCTTGTACAAGTCCTGGGGAAAAAGGGTCTCTGTTGACCAGGCTTTAGTCCCAAACTTTCCAGGAGCAAAACTTTGATTTTGTAAATACCCTATAAGATTTTGGTCTTTGGGAACTGCTTGTCACAATCTTTGTTCAGAAGACTGAAGGAGAAACCAGACACTACATGAGCAATTTAGAAACAGGGAAGGAGGGAGCTGTGTTACTGCTGTGATCACGTAGTTCTCCAGAGCAGTTCTTCTTGGGGTCTACATGCCAAACGCCTGCCAGAGGGGCCAGGACCAGCATAAAGGGAGGGAACCAGCTCAAAGACTATTTCATCTGGGTCATGGAGCCGCCTGGGGAACCTTCTCAAGCCCAAATAAGGTCTGCTTTGCTGAGGCCCAGCGTCCATTTGGCTTCCTGATGCAGGATGTCATGTGCCTGGTCTTAAAACTGGAGAGACTTCACCACTGTCTTGGTTGTGGGTGCCCATGCTGCCCTGGGCCCTGACCATCTTATCATTCCTACCAAATAATCATCATCCCAGGTGCCCTTTATTACTTATTTATTTATTTATGTATGTATTTCAGACAGAGTCTCTCTCTGTCACCCAGGTTGGAGTGCAGTGGCATGATCTCAGCTCACTGCAACCTCTACCTCCTGGGTTTAAGTGATTCTTCTGCCTCAGTCTCTTGAGTAGCTGGAATTACAGGTGTATGCCACCACGCCTAGCTAATTTTTGTATTTTTTTTAGTACAAACAGGGTTTTACCATGTTGGCCAGGCTGGTTTCAAACTCCTAACCTCAGGTGATCCACCTGCCTCAGCCTCCCAAAGTGCCGGGATTACAGGCGTGAGCCACTGCACCTGGCCTCAGGTGCCCTCTATGAAGCATCTCCGATCCAGACTTTCTGTGCCTGGATAGAGTCGATGCTTTCTGTGATATATATATATAATTTTTATTTATTTTTTATTTTTTGAGACAAGAGTCTGGCTTGAGTTGCTCAGGCTGGAGTGTAATGGCGCAGTCTCAGTTCACTACAACCTCTGCACCTCCACCTCCTGGGTTCAAGCAATTACTGTGCCTCAGCCTCCCAAGTAGCTGGGACTACAGGCACGTACCACCATGCCCGGCTAATTTTTGTATTTTTAGTAAAGATGGGGTTTTGCCATGTTGTTCAGGCTGGTCTTGAACTCCTGGCCTCAAGAGATCTCCCTGCCTTGGCCTCCCACAGTGCTGGGATTACAGACGTGAGCCACCATGCCTGGCTTGTGCACTATATTTGATGCTTTCTCATCAATCCTCATTCAATCCTCATAACAATTCTGTCAGGTAGGAACAGCTATTTACTCTTTACTCTATTTTCCAAATAAGGAAACTGGGCTCGCCCAAGGTCCCACAACTAACATGTGTGTATTATTGAGCATTTAATTTATACCAGGGAAGCCGGTCATGGTGGTGTGTACCTGTTGTCTAGCTATTTAGGAGGCTGAGGTGAGAGGATCACTTGAACCCAGGAGTTCAAATCTGCCATGTGCTATGATTGTGCCTGTGAACAGCTGCTGCACTCCAGCCTGGGCAACATAGTGAGATCCCTTATCTAAAACATTTTTTT